CCTCCTTTAATTTGCTGGTAAAGTGCTAATGAGAACCGACACAGCACATCATGCCGTTCTGCAAGTCAAGGTCTAATTCTCAATAACATAAAGGGCTAGCTTCACAGGGAATTCAAAATTGATACAGCTCTTGCGGGCCATGATCTAAGTGTGTAAAACCTCATTGAGACGAGCCTGCTGACGAGCCTATGTAAGCCCAACCTAAGTTTGGTATGTACGCGCTGTGTGCAACTAAGGTTGGGACAGACCCCATTGGATCTTGAACAAGCTATGGTCGCTGTGACCACCTCATGGCGTAAAGCCTGCTCGGCCTGCCCGTAGGCCGCCTACTCGGCTTCAATCACTCATCAAATCTTGGCGAAACTATGGCATAAGCCTCCTGCTGTCCGCTGTGGGCGCCTCCGTTCCCGCGCATGGGGAACATAGACAAACCCCCGTTCAACGGGGCAACAGGGGGCACTCGTCGGGCTCACGCTGACCTGCCATTAAAGCCAACCACACTCGAGATATTGCGTACTGAACTGAACGCCTCATGCCACACGCCCACCTAGGCCTTGAAAGCCTAAACTAGGCGTAAAGATGAGTAAAGTACGTAGTGAGGGTGCGAAGTCGACGAAAGGATGACGATGGAGCCCAGCCCTTCAAAGGAAAAGTGAAGCAAGCATCTTGTTAACATCACAACAGTGATATATTCAGGACACTGCAGAGAGCTTTGTTAAGTGGAGCTCTGCGGGCCTGCTCCACTCCCCCGCTACAAAATCGATCAATCAACAGATTTCCTGTGATTCCAAAAGGGTTTCACACACACACACTCTGACACTGGTTTTCAGTTAACTCAATTGCCACGATGGGAAGGAAGGCGGTGGAACAGTATGGCGAAAAGTCCGAAGTAATTGTAGGTGTTTGAACAAAGGCTGTTTCCCTTGACTGCGATGACAAAGCGGCTCAAGCTGCACCTTTGCTGGGGAGGAAATGGTTTGGGGAAAGTATCATGAACAGATTGGAACAGCGTGGGCAAAAGTTCAAAAAAGTCGCAGGTACGCCAGACTGATCAGGTCTGGTATCGCGACGACATGGATGAGTCTTCGTTGGCTCGTGCCATCCATGCGTCCACGAGCCCCCTGCTTGTGAGAAAAGCGGGAAAGTGGTTGTAAACCCTTAGAAACAGGGTGTGACACACACACAACAAGCCGAAGTCGGCGCGGATGCAAAGCAGTGGAAAAACGGACCTTTTTCTCGAAAAGAGGTAAACATATGACATGAAAT